GCAGGTCAAAGCAGGCAGGCATTTCATATGGAGTCATCCAAAGGATCAGGTGCCTGGCAATTGGAGGAGGTCCGCAGATCGGTTGGTGACCATTTTCTGGTGGATGTCCTGCATGTGCGGTCGGACTGCATGACAAGGTGTCGGGGCGATTATTTGGCAAATGCTGGCGATTATTTGGCAAATGCTGGCGTTTCCTGACATCATCTTTCGTGGTGGCCATGCAGCTGGAGAAGTTGCAATGCTCTGGGAATCACACCCACCAGACGATTGAAGGGGCATCGGGGGACAACAGAGGTCTGTCCAATCCCAGGTGTGTCCGAAGACACTGGTGCGGCGCATTCTGGCTGGAGCAGCACTGGATGAATCGATGCAGCAGGCCGGGCAGCATGTGTTGGCAGCCGACGAGATCAAAGGGGAAAAACGAAGGTATTTGGAGAATTCACTGATGAAGCTACACGTGAACCTGGGTCATGCAAGCATTCCGGACATGCTCAGGATCTTGCGGCGTCGGGGCGCGAGTGAACAGGTGACGGAAATGGTTAAGGCATGTTGAATGCGCCACCTGTGCAGCCCGCAAAGAACCGAATGCCATGAAGCAGCCAACAGTTCCCAAAGACATTGCCCCTTTGAGGTACATCGGCATTGACGTGAAACAGTTACCCAGCTGGAAGAAAGGCGAAAGGATTAAGGCCCTGAACATTGTTTGCCGAATGAGCGGGCTGCAGCAGATGACGCCTTTCAGAGAACAAAAATCCTCGGAAGTGATCCGCCGGCTGTACAGACAATCTTGGACCAAACCCTACGGCAGACCACGGTTTATCAAGTTTGATGCTTCAAGATGTAATCTGGGACAACATTGTCTTTGGAGCGGGATGGAACCACCCCCTTGGATATCCGAGGTCCAGGGTCGTCATTTTGAAGACATGCTGCAGCGGATATTGGACGAATATCAACCTGAGGACTATGACGCGTGGCTGAGCAGTGATAATCCAAATCCAATAGCAAATGGTGCAATCCTGGAAGACGACCTCGCCGCACGAGCAAGCAAGATTCGGCTTTTGGCACGGCAAGCAGTTTTGGAGTGCGCAGATTCCAAAGCAGCCCGGATTGCGTTGAATACCCGACCTCGGCCGCTCCGTGAATTCCGGAATGGTGACCAAGTAGCTGTGTGGAGACGCGGTCGGGGCATTCCGGGAAAGCGTGGGCATGCCAGATAAAGAGGGCCCGGCATAGTGGCTGGAGCGGCAGGTGGCAGTTATTGGGTGGCCATGCCAGGGTCTTTTATCAAGCGTTCACCAGAACAGTTGCGGTTGCGCACCGAGGAAGAACGGGAAGCAGACCGTTTCCTGGTTCGGGATTGAGGTCTGCGGCAGCAAATCTGTTTCCGGAAGTTGGAGGAGAAAACCCCCATCAGAAGAATTTTCTGGACATTACAAAGGCAGATTACCCTCCAGAATCAACGCCACCTGCAGCAGAACCCGAGCGAATGCCGGATTGTCGGGCGGAAGGGGTTGCCCAGCCTAGCGCAACCCCAGTCGATCCTCGCACGATTCCGATTGCATCGTCCGGCTCGGGCACAGCCAATTGGACGAGATTCGGAGTGGATACCATCAGACAGTCGCAGTCAACGGTCTTGGGAAGAACAAACTGCAGAGTTGCCAGAATCTCACCGATCACCTTTACCCCATTCAACCGAGCAAGCCGAGAGATTAGATGGCACGACCCACGACTGGAACCTGTAAGCAAGCGCATGAGGACGGTGAGTCGCAGGTTGTTGGTGGGCAACTGTTTCCTCCTGGAATACCAGTACCTGAGTTTGGGAGAAATGATCCTCCAGCAAGGTCGGGCGTGGGGCTGTGATGAGCATTACGTTGGATGCATTGACACTGCGCGACAAGCCACAGCCCTCTCGGGCTCGAGGAGCACGAGGATGTGTCGTTCGTATGCTTGGCTAGCTGGGACACCGACGACGTGCTACTCGCAGGGGGTTGGAAGGAAATTAATCTGAAGGATCCCAAATGGGCAAGTGCGGAGGCCAAGACACAAGTTGAGGTTGGTGTTCTCAAGGAATACAACAACGTGGTTTTGGACAAACAGGCCCTGGTACCTCTTTCGAATCCCGGCGGGCAGCGGCACAGTTTCCAGATCGTTTGGTGGAGTCCCGGTATGTGCTAGTTGAGAAGCAGGACGACAACGGGGAAACCATAGTCAAAGGGAGGTGGACTGCAAGGGGAGACCAGGACCCTGATTTGTTCGACCTAATTCGTGGTGGCAAGACTGCTTCTCCCACAATATCGTCAAATGGGCGCTTTGTGGTATTGCAGGCGATAGCCAGCGGTGGATTTCAGATGCAGTTGGGAGACGTGACGGGGGCTTTTCTGGAAGCAGATTGCATGAAGAGAGATGCTGGCAAGTTGTGTTTGAAGTGTCCCCGCAACGCCAACATCCCTGGAGTGCATTCTGAAACCCTGTTTGAGGTCGTGAAGCCACTTTATGGGTTCAATGACAGTCCACAACTTTGGTACAGCAAGTTTGTGTCTACTCTGCAAGAGCAAGGCTGGAATCAGCCGAAGTTGGACCCGTGTGTTTTCTTCTGGCGGGACCCTACTGCAAAGAACGGCCTAGGTGGGGTACTGGGCATGCACGTAGATGATGTGCTTACAGGGGGTAAGGGATCCAGCTATGATGAGGCCATTCGTAAGCTGAGACGGACCCTTCCTTTTCGCAAGTGAAGATGGACGAGGGCACCTTTTGCGGCTCCTTCCTGAGACAGTGCCCACGCTCCAAAGATATCATGCTGTCACAGACTGAATTTGTTGATCAGTTGGAGAAACCACGGTTAAGGTCCCGGAATCCTGGTAATTACAGATCTGGTCAACGATCAGGAAGTCAAGAGCCTGCGGAGTGTCCTCGGGTGCTGTGTGGCTGGCCAAGGAAACGAGACCTGATCTCGCGGTACAGGTCAGTATGGGACAGCAGCTTTTTCCGAGACCGACGCTGGACAAGGCAAGGACGGTTGCTCATGTGGTTAAGAGGGCAAAACAGTGTAGGGATCTTACCTGGCACATCAAAGCTGTTCCACTGGAAGATTTGAGACTTTGCCTTCATACCGACGCGGCTTTTGCAAATGCGAGGCGGCAGGTTACATTGTCGGCGTGACCGACCGCAGACTCGCAGATGGAAAGACAGCTCCGTGGGCTCCGGCAGCCTGGCAATCGTACCGACTCAAGAGAGTCGTGTGGTCAACGTTTGCAGGGGAGACGCAAGCATTAGCAGATGGTCTGGGGCACACAGAGCGGTTGGCATGTCATCTTGGCGAGTTGATTGGTGGGGAGGTCAATCTGAAACGGAGACAGGACATGCTGGCAAGGTTCAACATTCAGGCCATTGTGGATTGCGAGTCAGTCTACGATCATTTGCAAGCATTTACATCACCCAATTCGGTCAGCGATAAACGTGTTGCAATCGACCTGGTGATTATTCGGGAGACACTTCAGAGACTCAGTGCTAATTAAGGTTCGGTGGGCCCCAACGTGGTTGCAACTGGCTGACGCACTCACCAAAGAAAATGCAGATGCTATGGATTTGTTGTGAGCAGCCCTTCGTAAGGGGGAGTATCAGCTGTGTCAAGAAAGTGTGATGATGGAGGCAGCTGCGAAGGAACGTGAAACTCGCAAGGCTCGCAAACCGGCTCACAGCCTGCAGGAAACCAATCCCGTGACAGGCGCTCTGCGGGTGACCTCGGTGGTGGCGCCAATGGTGAAGGCGCCGGCGCGGGGTTTCAAGGAGGCGGAGATCAGGTGCCTCTTTGAGAAGTATGCCGAAGGCGTGTCGGAGAGCGAAGAGGAGTTCAAGAGTCGTGTGGCGCAGAGCCTCGGCCAGTGCAAGGTCCGGGTGCCTCTCGAGAAGGTGAATGAGCGGCTGTTCCGCGGGGTGAACAACGAGGTGACGTTCACCTACACCAAGAACCGGAGCCGCCATGATAGATAAGGCGGGACAGCAGTTGGAGAATGTGCTGCTGGCCTATGGGAACATGCTGAAGGAGGAGAAGGTGGACCCGCTGCCGGACGGCAGCCAGTGGTGGAGCAAGGCCATCCGCCAGATCATGGCAGAGGGTGGTGCTACGTCAGAGATCCTAAAGGCACAGTCGGCGGCAAAGGCTGGGGTGGACATGGTGAAGAAAGAGCTGCCACGTGTGGCAGTGCCGGATGAGGAAGAGTTCCCCATCGCAGATTTGGTCAACTTGGTGAGCCAGAAGCTCCACTCGCACCCGGCTTGGCGCAACAAGCTGCTGAAGTATCTCCTGGATGAATTCGACGCTGATGCTGGCCATGTGGTTGGTGTGGCAGAGGTGGCAGAGCACTTTTACATGAGTGAGCCCGAATTGGATGAGGAATGGGAGCATCAGAGCAAGAGCTCTGAGGCGAAGGGCTCGGCTGCTAAGGCAAAGCCTGGCTGGGCGAAGAAGGTGTACAGTCCGCAGGGTCCATGAGTGGCCCTTTTTCGAGGTTCCCGTGAAGATGGGCGTGGTCAAGTCACTTTTGATAATCTTACGGATGCGAAAGCGTCCGGTTGTGCGACTTGACCCCTTGTAACATTTGTGGCCCATAGGGAATGACTCGTAGTTCTTGACGGTGGCATCGCGATGAGCCGTTGAGACAAAGGAGCTGGCCGCGATGTTGGGGGGGAGGCACGTCGTCTCCGAGACAGAAGTCCGTTCGCCCCCTTCTGTGACGCGCAGGACCTTTCAAAAGAAAAGGCCAACTGCTGCGCAGTCAGACTTGCACCCCCCCCCATATCTCTCGTAGAAAAAGACGCGCCAGCTGCCTGGGTTGTAAACGCACGAATTTCGTAATGCAATAAACCAGGCTGCCGGGCGGCTGGTGGAAACTCACACCGTTAAACTGTCCTCAAAGAGAGAAGGCGTTTTCATAGATTGCGCAGCCGCAGCCCCATGAATTATATCCCTTTTTGGGGGGCTCCAGCATCTGCAGCGCCAGGACCTTGACATGTTCAAAGAGGCAATCCCAGCCTTCAGCAAGAGCTTTCGGGAGGCGCGCGTTGTGGCGTTCGAAGGTGCCCATGCCTACCCGCCTCTTGCCCGTTCACCGGACCTGCGGGCAGAAGTGCAGAGGTTTTTGAATGAGAGCCAGCGCCGTTTTTGACCTACTAGATTCCGTAGCGTTCGCCGTATGTCAGAAGTAGGGACCCTCCAAATGGTTGGTTTCATGTTTGCTTTGGGCCAACAAGTTTAAGATTGGCATTCTGTTGCTTGATTATCACACCAAGTTAACTCAAGCAGCCCAACCGTCCTCTTGGAGTTTTCGGAGTTTGGTGGGGGTTTTGGTAAGACGCCCTACCTTAACTCCCCACCTCGTATGCGTTGAAATAGCGGCGGTGGGGCTCTTGGTAAGATGCCTCACCTTCACACCTCCTATGCTTTGAACTAGTAGCCGGGCTGCCCCTGCAGCAGCCCGAGCCTTCGAGCAGCACATTGGGAACTCCAATATTGGACTAACCTTTGCATCTTGAAGCCGATCTTGAGTTCATAGTCATAGTTGTCACTCGTGTTTGGTGTACGAGCTACGTGGCTCCCTGCTCAGACATTCCTAATGCTACTGCTCAATCATTAGCTGTTGTCCTTCCACTGACTGTGGCAACTGTTTAGCCCGCAAGTGCGCGAAGGTTTTTTTCAATCAAGAATAGTTTGTCAATCCTAGCTGGCCAGTTTTTATGGGTGAGTTCCTCTGCATGGTTCTCGACATTGAAGAAAACTGGGCTGATGCGCTGAACGGGATTGGGGCTGGTCACGCTGAGTCAGCGCGAATGAAAAGGGCAGGTGCAGACGTTTCTTCGAGCGCCGTGGTGGTTTATGAGTTTTATGAGGCGGAAGTTCTGGAAATCCCACATCTGAGCTCTTTGGCTCAGATGCACCGAGGCCTGTGCCTTCTTTGCCTGTGCCTAGGATTTGGCATGGCCTTCTCTGGCACCTTCAAGCGTTGCCGGGCGCTGCTGGAGGAGCACGGGGTGTCTGTCACGGATCCCGTGGCAGATTCGGACCCCAAGGGTGCCGCCTACGACGCCTACTCGCTTCAGGTGGGCGGCAAGCAATGCGCCTACCGCACTGCGAAGATCACTCCCACGAAGAATGGGGCGTTTGTGACTTGTTGGAAGCGGCCGGACGGAGGCGCCATTGTGCCGCTCACTGCAGAGGATCTGCATACTCTCCTTGTGGCTGTGGAGGAAGCCGGCAACTTCGGAATGTTTGTGTTTCCTGCGCAGGACTTGCTGAGCAAAGGGATCCTGTCCGGTGGCAAGAAGGGAAGCTCAGTTGTCCGAGTTGCCGGCCTTTTCAATTTTTGGTTTCGCATGTTCTGTTCATTTAGCTTAACCGTTTTTATTTCCTGGTGCAAATCGGAGAACTGAGGAAAGCTCTCCTTCAGAGTCTATGCCCCATGGGTGGTCACGGAGAGTGCTCAGGCAGCCGCGACTCAAGCCTGGCAGCGGACCTTCTTCGCACAGAAGGACTCGACAAGTGCGCTCCAAGTCTTCGATTCTGTGGAGGGCCAGGCGAAGCGTGCCCGACACAACTGAGGACTGGGAAGGGATGGGATCCATAGCGCTTGTTTGGGCTTTGTGTGTTTGTGTTGAAAGCAGGCACTTGTATACTGTGCCCTGCATTACGGGGATGAGCCATTTCTGTAATCAGTATTCTTGCTAAATGTAACCAGTACTCTGCATTCTGTTGTAATAGGCGACAAGCAGCAGCTTCTAGCAAAACCAACCTGCCCGTCAGGCACCTGAATGTTGAGACCAAATAACAACCGCCAAGTTTAGCGAAAGTATTCGAAACTTTGACCGGCGCTTCAAGAGGTGGCTTTGTATATAGTCATGTAGCCCTGCGAAGGAATCAAGGAAGGCGGAAAGCAGCCCAATTGCGGCTCCGCTCAAGGAATCCATTCGTGGAGACTAACCAGCTCAAGGGTTGTTTGCGACCAGTTGGCCAAATAATTCATTGCAGCCGCTGGGGCGGTACCACTTTTTCACCCGCAGACGAAGACGAATTGCGAAGACGAATTCCCGAAAACGAATTCCAACCCGAAGACGAATTGCGAAGACGAATTCCCGAAGCCGACTTCCGCCCCGAAGCCGAATTTCCCCCCGAAGACGAATTGCGAAGACGAATTCCAACCCGAAGACGAATTGCGAAGGCAATTTCCCGAAGACGAATTCCCCCCCGAAGACGAATTGCGAAGACGAATTCTCCGAAGCCGAATTCTCCCCCGAAGCCGAATTCACCCCCGAAGACGAATTGCGAAGACGAATTCGCCGAAGCCGAATTCTCCCCCGAAGCCGAATTCCCTCCCGAAGACGAATTGCGAAGACGAACCTCCGAAGACGAATTCCAACCCGAAGACGAATTGCGAAGACGATTCGCTGGAGCCAAGTTCCCTCAAGAACACGGGTTCCCCTAATGAATGCCGTTGAGCAAGCATGCTGACAGCGAGCGTTTGTGGTCATTTCGTCCCCTTACCATAGACGGCGCCCTACATAGTAGATGCTTTTGTCAAGGCCCAATCCTTCACTAGAATAGTTCATGCAATTTGAAACCAGTATTGATCTATCGACTGTCCTCTTCTAGGAGGCTCAGCGTTTGTAAGAAGAGAAGACCCTTCCTTGAAAACAGTTTTTGTTAGACCTCTCGGCTTTGACCCTGTCCCCGTCAGAAGTGCAAAAAAACACACAACACTGAACACCCAGCGCCTGGAACCGGGGACCCCTAATAATATAAGACGTTATAATTGCGCAGTTGGCATGTTTGGGTTGTTTGCTGATGAGGGGAAGGGATTAGTTTAGCAGGGGGTTGCGCAGATGATGCCTTCTCCTCTTTCGAGGGTTTCCTGCTCGTCCCCCTAATAATAGAGGGCCCCCTAGATAGTAGATGTCTGCTAAGAATCTCCGAGCCGCAGGCTAAAATATCCTAAGGGCAGGTTCTGAGGGTCACCCTGTTACTTCCCCTTGTTTAAGGTCCTAAACCTTTGAGGGAATTGTGTTTTGTGCGCAGCCGACATGTACATGCGAATGCATTTGGCTCAAGACCTTGATAACAGAATCGAGGCAAACATCCAAACACAGCTGTGAAACAAAGCAAAAGGGTTCGTCTTCCGCGGTCGCATCGAGTCGTGAGACGACGCAGATCATTTACCTTACAACCCCCTTTTACCACGACCGCTACTATACGACTTACTGTCGAGCGTATTGGTCACCCCACGGGAGTCGAGCCCCAACTGCCTTGTCATTTGATTACGTGGTTGATCCGCCTCCTGGCAGGTTATCAGCCGTAAGTTCAAAATTGGTCCCTGCGGTGGATGGCAACTGCGGTGCAATACAACCTTTTGAAATATATTTACAGCCGTACAATGGATTCCTCCGGAAGCCCGGGAACTGCAACATTTGGAAATGATAGTTCCAGCGGTTCCACAGGTATGCTTGCAGTGCCGGCGGTTGCAGACTCTCCGGACACCCAACAAAGTGCAAGTTCTGATATTAGCCATGACCTATCACATTCATCCTGGAAGGAAGTTGGTCATGCCGTGTGGTCCAAAGACGGATAAAAGAAGAGATCGTCATCAGCTTCATTATCGACAAGGGCGTCATGAGGCCTGTGACAAAGGGAAAATGGCGATCCAGATCGCCTACAGGCGTCTAAGATCACTCAGGAGAACAAGACCCTCAAGCAGGAAGTGGAGGAGGCTAAGCGCAATTTGGCTATGCTACAGGAGTCATATGAACGTTACGACCAGGGGGGGGCAATGTCACGCGCATCCAGGAACTGGAACGTAGAGCAGGTATGTTGGAACAACAAGTAGCCCATATCCTCAAGAGATCCGACGAACAACTTCGAGAAGCTGCTCAATACATTGACATTCACGAAGAGACTTAAAGTCCTCGAGTACGAGAAGCGACATCAGGAGATGGCCGCGACCGTGAATCTGCTTGAACATCGAATCAGGTGCGAGGAAGAAAGCTCATTGGTCAGCAAGAATAAGGCTGAACAAGAAAGAAGGAGCACTTCTTCCGAGATCGCTCAGTATCAATCGATGATCAACTCCTACCAGGTGAAGATCGCTACGGACTCGCAGAACGAGGAGAACACCATTCGTGGTTTGCGTGAGAGATTGGAGACAGCGTTGTTGCCGCAACCGAAAATGGCGATCGATGACGAGCCACAAAACGTATTGGTGAGCAAAGCAAATGATGCTATCAGGTACGCTGAACAAGAAGCCCATTGCGCACGGCTTGCCGTGAGCGAACGGGATGAGATGTATTTGATTGGACAACGTGCAGTACAGGAGCGCGACGCGAAGATGAATGAGGAGATCAAGATCGCTAGAGATCGAGCTCATCAAGGAAACGCATTACATGATCGCGCCACGCTGAGGGATCAGGAGTTTGTCGACGTGACTCGCGAACTCGCAGCATCAAGACAAAAGGCTATTGATGCGAAATCCGATTACCTCAGCCAGATCGCTGCAATGTCCGAAGAAATCGAAGAGACATCGACAAGAACTCAAGATCCAAGAGAGCTTTGTGTACCAGTTGGCAGAGACGAACAAGGAACTCGAGAGCGAGAATGCCACCCAAATCGCCATCGCGGCGGATGCAAAAGATCGTGGACGAGCTCTACTGAGGGATGACTCCGTTAGGACCGGGAAACGCCACAATTCGAAGATGCGTAAGAGTGATACCACAAATGGGCCTCAACAACACGGTCAGGTAACGCTCTATCAGACTACAATGGCGGCATCTAGTTCTAGTGTACAGGCGCCCAATTCTTAAGCCAATTGATTACAGCCTTGGACCGGGTTCTGTTTTGTTTCCTGCTTACCAAGACCCAATGATACAGGCTCATATCGACCAACTCCATGAGGCGGTAGGATCTATTGCAAATATGAGATTTGGGAGGTGGTGGTGGTCATGGAGATGGCGGTCCACCTGGTCTCGGGTCTAGGACGTGCTCCTGTCCCAGCTGCAACAGGAGGGCCAAATCCACCTGATCCGCTTGACGACGATGATGATGGAGACGAGGACGACGAAGAGGAACCATCCGATGATGATGATGATGATGATGATGACCGCCGTCGGAACAGAAGATCACCGCGAGGAAGAAGGTCGAGAGATCGCAGAGTCGATATATATAAATATATATCACGGAAGGAAGCTGAGAGAGTCAATGTACCTCCATGGCCGAAGATCACGAAGCTGTCACCAGTGCTTCATTCAGCAGACCCTGATACCGAAGAATGGGCAATATTGCGGAATGCAATTGATGTTGATGAGGAGGAAAGATTCAACCAAAGAAGAAGGATGGCACCGGTAGCTCGAAGGACGCCGCACCGCTATGCTCAAAGAAAGAGGGGGTGGTGATCAGTGGTTGTACAACTGGGGCATACGGAAGAACACAAATAAGGTCAAGAACCTTGTTGAGGTAAAGTTCTTGGCGGACCTGGATTGGACGAGGAGCATTGTCAACCCGGTCGATGGGTCAGTCTTGCGCATGGACTCCAAACGTCTTCAAGATCTTGGTGCAACCCATGTGACATTGGACGAGGTCTATGGGATCCTGGTGGTTATCTACGCATGGAAGTTTACTCCAAGGGAAGGTCTCGCATCTATCCCAGAGAACGACCATGATGGGGAACTGTTGGAGAACATGGATGACACTTGTTCAGAAAGCACCATGACGGGAGGAAATGTGTCCGAATGTACAGATGAACTGACATACATTTTTTGAGTGGGAGGACCTGGCAGCGCGCGATTTGTGTTTGCGAACCTGCGCGGCGTCGCCAATGGTTGATTGCCCTGAGGGCGACTACCCGAAGATGCCTTGTGTTCCGGCCGAAGAAGATCATCGTGAGAAGGTCGTCAAGGTGGCAAGAATAATCAATGCAATGATATCACGACCTGTGGGAAGGGCCGAGATGCTTACCAACACCAAGGCGATGGACCCCATGAAGAAGGAATGGAAAGGATGTCGCTCGCGAGGCAAAACAGAAGAACGAAGAAGTGCACATGGCCAGGGCGCATGGTATAATAGTTGAAACATTCCCAACTTTCGGAAGAAGACCCACGCAGAAAATACAATGGTCGTGGGGTGGTGCTTGGGAACCAGATTAAGAACCAGACGTCGGGCATTGTTTCAAGATCTGGGAATTTTTCTGCAACTTTCGAAGCTTCCAGATGGACTTTTTAGGTTGCCTTGACGGATGGGATGTGCAGATGGCTGATGCGGTACAGGCATATATCCAGGCCACTTTGCGGGGTACACCTTGTTGGATCGAGCTTCCAGCCGAAGCAGTTCTTGAGGATGATACAGAACGATGGAATCAGTTCAAAAGACCCGTGGTTCGTTTGGTGAAGGCTTTGTACGGTCATCCTGATGCTGGTACATTTTGGGAACAGCACTGCGATGAATCGGTGCGTTCAATGGGTTGGTGAAGAATGGCCTTCTGGCTATACCCATCCTGAACTACAATTAGTTCTTGTGGTCTATGTGGACGACTTTAAGATGGCTGGTCAAAAGAACAACCTCAA